TAAATGCTTAACTATTAAAACATTTTTAAGCTTTGCTGCTAATAAAAAAACGTCACTGATACTGTTTGATGAGTCTAAAACATTTTTATACGAAAAACAAGATGAAGAAATTTACGTGGAGGGACCTGAAGGCTTCGGAAATAATTCAGAAAGAGTTTGTGGACTGAAACAAAGTCTTTATTGTCTTAAGCAAGCGCCAAGATGCTGAAAAGAATGTTTTGCTAATTTTTAACAAATAGAAATTTTAAGCAAAGTGATGCAGATCCGTTCCACATGATATACTTTTGCTTAAGTTGGAACATTACGAAATCAGAGGGCATTCTTTGAAACGGTTTCAATATGTATCAATAAATCATTGTAGCTCAGATACTCGTCGAGTGGTAAGTGAAGTACCACAAAGAAAAATTCTGGGCCCAAAATTATTCATACTTTTTATCAACCAAAATCTCTAAAAGGTTAAAAAGTTAAAGGTTTCTCTCTCTCTTTTGCGTTTGCTTCAGAGGTTTCAACGACAAACACACACAGCGTATATGAATACGCGTGCAAACCACGCACCATACACATTGCATATGATAGGCGGGGATCTCTTTGTAATCGAACCCAGTCATAGCAATAGCAAGACCAGGCGCCTTAAACCATTGAGCCATCACGCCACCTTCTTTGCGTTAGCTTCAGAGGTTTCAACAACAAATTCATCATTTATGCAGATGACACAACATTTGTCACCACTCCTAGACACATAAAGAGTTTGAATGTCTGTACATGCCCCGTGAAGCAATCAAGTGAAGTCTACGTCGACAACTCATTCCAGAATAACGTGCAGCCTGGAATAAATGGCATTTTTTTGCCTCTATATTGATGCGGCGTGGCATCCCACTATCACTACGATCAAGGCTTTATAAATTTGTGATACGTCCGGTGTTGTTATATGGTGCAGAAACATGGCCAATGACAACCAAACTGGAACAACAACATTACCGATATGAAAATGCTCCGATGGATGCTACGAATTAGTCTGAAGGACCACATCAAATCTACCGAAATTCTGCGTCGTGCTGGTTTAGATGATATAAAGAACGAATGCCGGCAACACCGTCTGCGGTGGTTTGGTCATGTCAAACGATGTGGAAACAGTGCCATAACTTTTTTTGCAGATGTTGAAGTACCTGGCACACGTCCCAAAGGCTGTTCAAAGAAGTCCTTGTTGCAAACAATTGAGCAAGATATGAAAGCTCTAAATCTAAAGGAAATGGATACAACTGATCGTCTAATTTGGCGCAAAATATTGATGGCAAAGAAAACGACGTCCTACCTCGGGAGAACTGGGTCTCTGGACGCTAAACGATGATTGATTGAAACAACTGTTCAGATAAATTGCACACTTTTTCTATTCATAACAAAATTAATATAAACATTAAAAAGTATATGATTTTTAATAATTTAAATCAAGATGGTGATAAATATTGTTTTAAAATTAAGCTGTAGCACAATCGACTAAGTGAAGAATTTAAATTATTAGGAGTTGTGATAGACAAGAAATTAAATTTCAAAAAACATATTGATTTTATTACGCAAAAAATAAACAGATATCTGGGAATAATGAACAGATTAAAATATCTTCCACCAAATAAAATTATAGTTTCAATGTATTACGCATTTATAGGTATATCCACATTTGTATTATAGAAATCTAATATGGGGTAACACGTTTAAAACTTATTCAAATGTTTTATTTGATGTTCAAAAACCATTAAAAATTATAAATTTTTAAAATATTTTAGTAAAAAAAACCTTTTTAATAAACTTAAGATTTTATCAATTTTTCAAATTAATGATCTCAAATGATGTTGTTTTATTTTTAAATTAATTAATAATCTTCAAATTACATCAGACGATCACCTACATGAATCATATAAGCATGATATTAAGGCTAGACCATCAAGATCTAATTGTGAAAATAAATTGAAAGTCTCCGTTGTTAAAACATTACTTCTAGGTAGAAATATATGTTTTTATGGCGGGCACAAATAGAATAAACAACCAATTTGTATAAGGACTTGTATGGTTTACCGCCTTTTAAATACAAATTAAAAAATCTATTTTTAGCATACTTTTTGGTTTTATAATCTGTTTTTAGGTTTTATTAAAATTTTACATGTATCTTAAATGTTTCGCCGTATTGGATTTTTATTTTATGAATTTTCATTTTTGTCAGCCTGCAGTATTTTCTTTTTTGCAATAATTCCATTAACCACTTTCCTTTTTTCTTTTAATGTGTTTGTTTTGTATGTTGCTTTTTAGTCAATTAAAGTAGTAATAGTAAAATTTTAACGATTAACAAGGTAAGTTAAAAACGGCAAAAAGAAAACAATGTTCCACATAAGCACTGTGGTAGGAATAAGAATGACCTGTATACCTGCTCTACAAATAGATATCATTGCTTATTAAAATATAAAAAAAAAAACATAAAAACTTATTAACCAACGAAACACTTGTTTTTTCCAATTTTAAATAAGTTTTCAATTGTTTTGATGCTGCAATGAGACAATTTCTGAAATATTAAAATATTTTAAAATTAGATAATTTATAAATATAAATATATATTGGGAATTTAAAAAAAATAATTTTTCTAAACAACAAAGTTATTTCCGATTTTTGTTTTGTCAAAACAATTTTCTATCATAATTTTTACAAATTTATTATTTTTTCTCTTATAGAAAAGCGGATTTAGTTTTGCTATACCGCGAAAAGAAAGCGGCAGTTATTGTATACACAAAAATTTCATTGAATATAATTAATTCTTTTGGGTGGTCACAGAACAATGATACTCAGATTTCAAAACATTTTTGTAATATAAATGATGCTAAGAAATAGACCAATATAACTAATCCATTTAAGAAACAGAACGTGGATATATTAATATAATAAAATTGCAACTGACAAGGTTGGTAGACTTAAAACAAACAGAGTATATGTTCTACTGGAAATAAAAATAATCTATTGAAACTTCTACGGTGATATTTGATGAAACCTGTTTTTTGTTTAAAAATGTTAAATGGATAAAATAGTTGAAAATGGCGCTAAAATGAAAATCTCTTCCTTTTAAATTCCATAATCAACTCAATCAATCTTGTATCTACGCCCCATAATGTTTTCTTAGCTATGACAAATGAGATTATGACAACCAATTATTGTCTATAAAATTCATGAAAATGAAAAATATGTTTTTTTAGGTGATTTCAAAGCAAGAGTAGGTTCTGAGAGTATGTTATGATTTTGGGACTTGTGTTATTTTGGAATTGGAAAAATAAAGAATTACAGGTGATTCTGATTTATTAACTGTTGCCATCAATAACATCTTTCATATCAGATTGCAATTGAGTCACATTAAAAGTCAGTTTATCCTGATTGTCCAGACAATCCCTATTTAATTGGTTCTTGTTACGGCAGACTTATGGGTAAGGCAGAAAAGAAAATTTTCAATTTAAGCAGCGCTCAACGTTACCTTTAAATCTTCCACCTCTACAGCTCCAGATTTGGTTTCCAAACTCATCAACAAAAATGTTCCGCACTTACACCAAAATTGCAAACAATAGTCACCACGTGCTTGTTAAGATTTTCTGGTTTTTACTTTAATAACGTGTCAGTCAACCTCAAAAACAATTTTGTTAAGCATAACAATATTTAATTTGATGTTCAATACTCAACCCTATTGTTGATTTCTTTTCCAGTATTAGACATAGAATTCATCAGATAGTTTCCACCAGCAATTTGATCATTGTTACATCTAGGTGGGTCATGAGGAGAACCAAAGTTGTGACCTTATTAAAACGTTTTTAAAAATGATTAACAGATTAATATTATAAATCTAATATATAACGAAACTGTAAATTAAATGATTGATTTGATTAAATAATTGATTATATATATATATATATATATATATATATATATATATATATATATATATATATATGTTGGTAATAAACCATAATTTTTACAATATTCTATAAATTCTACCAAATGTTTTGGCGTTAATATGTTTGTAGTTCGTTTTTTCAATTTTTCTCACTAAAGTTTTTTGGTGAACGTTTAGTTTATTAAAATTCAAAATAATCTTATTTTCTGAATTTATGCTGCAAATAGGGCCATATTTCGATTCCGAATGAATCATCATCAGTGCTTTTTGATGTTTATATAGGGAAATATTGACTTTGTCAAAATGAACTTAGTTGGAAATTAGGTGTCAGGTTTCTTTATTGGCTGGTCATCTTCTTTGGTCTCCTTTTCTTCATCGATAGCATCATATTCTTCTTTGTCACTATTTACAATGCTAGTTTTTATTACTTCTTTGTTTTCATTGTTGGTTAAGCGCCAGGTTGGAAGTGAGGTTATCATTTTTTGTTGTTTATTTATTTTTGGTTTATTGATGTCAATTAGGACTGCTTATGCAATTTTAAGATGCGTGTAGTTGCTATTCTGGTATATTACTTTGGTGTTTATCTCTAATAGTGGTTGAGTGTGTTGAGTCCAAATGAGATTTGATAGCACGATGCATAAACAGAGTAGTTTATTGTTTTGGTTCAAATGTTGTACATTTTTATCGATGGCATTTTTAAATAGATTTGCGCTGTAACTCTGTCAATCTGTTGTTGACTTGTTTCACTGTCACTCAACCTCAACAAATCATTCGAACTCATCATTCACAATAGTCGTCGTAAAAAAAACTTTACCTCCTGAACACCCATCAATCACTCGCACAAATCAATGAAAAATATTAGGCATCACGTTCACTTTCACACTTAATGTAGCACCAGAGGCGTATTTACAAAAACTGTGGCCCTAGGCGCACGACCAATTTGGGGCCCTCTTGCCTATAAGGCGATCAATGATCATAATACAACAATAGTTAGAACATTCATGCCCATGTATTATTTAACATGAATAGATACTACAGCTATAGATACTAGTTAGAAATTACAATTGTCAGTTTATTACAGTTATATAACTTTTTTCCGGCTCTTCAATTTCGCGAAGGAGTCAATGTGCGCATTGAAATCGTATTCTAATGTCTCCTTTGATTCAATGCATAAAATAGACAAATCTCCCAGCTTACATTGGCTGATGGAATTCCGCAAGTAATTCTTAATCCTTTTCAACACAGAAAATGACCGTTCTCCAGTTGCGTTTGATATAGGAATGGTGAGAAAGATTCTTAGAAGGATTTCCACATTGGGAAATGTAAATTGTAGTCCACCCACCACTATAAGCTGGTACATCTCTACCAGAGATTTTGCGCCTTCTTCTTTAGCGAAATGCAAAAACTGTTTGATTTCATCGCCAGCGGTATCAGAATTAACATCGTCTTTGTATTCTTCGATAAAGGCCGAGATCTTTGTGTTCATGTCATCTACCTTGTCCTTGAAAAATAGACTGAACAAATCATGTATACCTTTGTATGCTTCGATTCTGTGATCAAGTTCCGTGATCAATTTATCAGAAATGGCGTTTACTGTGTTAACAATAAAATTATCACGACCAGTTAAAATAACTTCCGCTTCATTGCTTTCGACACAAAACGGTTTCTGCTTTTTCTTGCGGCTCACTTCATCTTGATATTTACAGTCTTCAAGATCCTCGTTAATAAGCAATGCTGCTCGTTTTTTAATACGAGTGAAATCGTTTCGGACTTCATTGTTAATAAAAAGCTTCAGTGATTCTAGAAGATTTAAACCAGAATCAAGATATAAATTTGAATTTTGCAGGAATTTGCTGGTTGCATTCAACCGCTGTAAAATTGTATCCCAAAGAACAGTCATCAATGCAGTCTCAAAAAGATCCATTTTATTAGCAAGAGCATTAGCCTCATTTCTTACAGACGCCTTCTGATCACGATCTTCGGCTGCTTGAAGAAGAGCTTCCTGAATACCAATGTAGTTCTGATGCAATGCAAACACTGCATCCGCTCTAGCTGACCATCTTGTGTCCGATACTTTCTTTATGGTGCATCCACTTTTGACTAGATGACTTTTAAGTATGTTCCACCTGTGTGTGGATGATGAGAACCACACATAAACGTTTTGAATAAAGTCAAACTATGATACTGCTGAAAGCGACGATTCTGCAGCCGAATTACCAACTAGATTTAAGCTATGGCTAGAGCAGAGAATGTAAACTGCATTGGGACTGTGTGCCTTGATTCGCGCCTGCAAGCCAGAGTATCTGCCAGACATGTTAGAAGCATTGTCGTAACTCTGTCCCCTGCATTTTGTGATATCTAACCCCCATTTCTTCAAAACGTCTAGTATCACTTGCTCCAGATTTTGAGCGTTATGAGCATAGATGTCAACAAAAGTTAAAAATCGTTCTTTAATTTCACCATCAATGAGAACAGATTTGAATATCACAGTTAACTGATCCACGTGGCTAACATCAGGTGTTGAATCAACAATCAAAAAAAAATATATCGATTTTTTTACTTCTGAAATAAACTGATCTCTGACAGCATTGCCCATTATTTCAATAAATTCGTCACAAGTAGCATGTGATAAATAACTAACAGAACTACTTCCCTTGTTACCGTACCGCGCAATATGATTTGCTAAGAAAGGGTCAAATTTTGACAAATAATTCAAGCAATTAGTAAAGTTGCCGTCATTGTTGTCATGACCACGAAAAGCCAAACCTTGAGAGGAAAGGAACTGTACAGTTGCTGCAATCCTTCGTAGAACTTCTCTCCAGTATTGCCTTTCATCATCTGACTGTTTCGCCATTTGTTTGTCAATACGCCCGTTTGCGTTTAAGCGTTTAGCCAAAGTGCACATTGCTTGAACATGGCCATACGAATTTTCATGTTCAGAAATTTTCGCGGCAATATTTTTCCAATCTGAACACCCATTTGTTGAAAATTGACTAGCTTTATTTGGAAACAGTTTGCATACATAACAATAAACACTTCCACTAGTTTCACTAAACACTAACCATTCACGTCTTTCTTTTTGGCCATTCGTCTTGGTCAAGTAAAAGTTATGTTCAGACAAATGACGAAAATATTGTCTGCCACGATCTGTCATCAACATGCTAGCGCGTGAAAAGTCGCCAACATTTTTTGGTTTGAAATCCAAAACATAATTACGCATGGTTTCTGTCAAATTCGCTGGCCACATAGCAATATTTGTCAAAATTTCACCACAGTTGTTATCAACAGTTTAAATACTCGCGACCTCTATAGAACCTTCAGCCGGCGGTTCAGATTCTGGCAATTCTGTTGGATAGGACTCAAAATCCATACTGGCTATTGCCGAGACGACTGCACTTTGATTACCAGCTGTTATTTCTGTTTGAGTTTGAGTAGTTTCTGATGATGGGGTTACCGGTCGTTTCGCTAAAAATGTCAAGGCGCCTTCGTTTTTCGCATCTTCTGCTTTTCTTTTCTTTTGAATATCACGTTTTTTTGCACCTGAGGGATATTGTCTCATAGACATTGTTTTAATCTTGAAACGAATGTGTTGCAATCAGCAGAAAGGAAAAATGATCATTCATCCACACAGTGAAATTATTAAAATAGTGTAATAAACTGGCAATTAACAATAAGTTATTGCAAAAAATTAAAATTTGAATTGAAATTTTTTAATGAAATCTGTGACGTAAGATGCGCCAATAGTGTTCGAATTTTACCACAACTCAAAAGTTTGTTTACATTTTTAATTTAGGGTTGAGCGAAAATTCGCGCGCGCATTTTTGGCAATGCATAAATTGTTGTTTGTATATTTTTTTTCATACGTTGTTCAAAAATATTCAGAAATAATTATGAAATATATTATCTGAAAATGTAAAATTAATTTTTTTCAAACTTATTAAATTTTTTTGTGCGAAATATTTTGAAGCCTCCAAAAACTCATTTTTCAAGTTTTGGGGGCCCCTAAAATCTGGGGGCCCTAGTGCGCCTATGCCTAAATTCGCCACTGTGTAGCACCTCATATTAATCACATCACCACAAAAAGTTTTCAAACATTTCACGTACTCAAAATACTCCGCTCACATGGTCTCAAAAGCCTCAAATTATTCAACATTACTGAATCACTCATCATCTCGCACATGAAATATGCGACTCAATTATGGTTTAATTTTGCTACACAACAACTTCAGCAACTACAATCTCTCATCAATAACTAATTTGCCTCAGTTATCTACCTGCATCATATCTTACCGTCACTCAAATATTTAACAGACTTGTTTCAAGACTATCCAAGAAAGTAGAAACTAACAACAACCACGTCATTCATCTTCTACCACCACTAATCAAAACTCTCCACACAACCTTCGTCAACGCAAGCATTAACTATCAAGTCGCCACTCAATCAACATATCAGGAAAAAACCTTTACCACAAAACACTTTAAATATATAAGCATTCACTAAAACTTTATTATTTACTCAATCTAGTTTTTTTTAATTTATCGATCACCCTACTAACTCACTGAGTCATTATCTAGTCCATTAAAAATTACTTTATTTATTTGCCTTTTTATACCATTACTTTATTTTATTTTCAATACTTTTCATGTTTAAACATTTTTTTCTCCATTATTTATTTATATATTTATTTCGTTACCATTTTATACTACTGCCTTGCATGCTGTAACAGTTTCTGCGTCTGTCAGATCTTGATTTAAAAAAAAAATAATAAAAAAAGTTTTGAAAGTTGTGTCTGTTGCGAGTGGCAAGAACGTTAAGAAAATGGAGGTTTTATCACTTTCATATTCAATGGTAAAGTTTACTTTGGATTTACTTTGAATTTTTTCCCGTCGACCAAATTTTTATGGATGTTCTGGTAATTCGATATTATATAGTTTCTTGATGTAGTGAAGATGGATTTGTGACAGGCTGCCAATTCCATTATTTCGATCGTATCTCCTCGCAAAAGAGCTATATCGGGCCGAAATGATTTGAAGAAGGACGATACTGAAACAAATTCTTCGTTAGTCGTATCGGCAAAGATTGTAACTTCTGATTTGGAAACCGATCTAATCTTTTTCAGAATCAAAGACAATATTTTATTATGATGTGTTGTATATCTTTTTAAATTTGCAACGGAAAAAAAATTTGACAGGACGTGCTTGTTTGTCTAAAATGTGTTACAGAGGAAACACAATGCATTGGAGGACTCACTCCCCCTGGAGAGATTGGCGTTAATTTTGATAGATAACATTTGCTTGAGTTTATCAATCAGGTGTTTATTTACTTCAGCGTTGCATCTTTCATAATCATACATTTTTCCCAAAAAAACGAAGTGGCCATCGGCTTCAATCGGCGGAATTGGTTTATCGTTGATGGTCAGTCTGAAAAAGAACTGTTCATATCTGCCGTTTCTTTTCCTCATCCAAATGGATTACACTTGCCGATCTTCATGCACATTTAGTTGCGCTACACCAGACTTGGTTTAAATCAAAAGTTTCGTATGTTTAACAACGCATTTATTAAAATTATGAACTAATTATATTTGTCAATTAACTGCTTCAAAACG